TCCGCCGCGACGCCACGTTCCCCGCCCCGCCCAGAAATGAGACTTGAGGGGAGAATGGAGTGCGGAAGGGCCCTGGTGACGTCATGCAAAAGGGGCAGAACTCAGATCCTAGGGTGATGCCGGATAGAAGGGGTGACGTATAAAGGGGCGGGGTTCAGACCCGTGTGGAAAGGGCGGGGCTCAGAGCCTGGTGGCGTCATGCAGAAAGGGTGGGGCCCCACCCGTGGGGTGGAGGCATGTGGAAGGGGCGGGGCTCAGACCCTTGGCAGGGTGGGGCTCAGAGCCTAGTGACGTCATGTAAAAGGGTGGTGGTGGAGCATGGTGACGTCATGAGGAAGGGCGGGGCAGGGAGGGAGTGACGTCAGGGGATAGAGGTTTCCAGGGCAGGGCGGGGTGGGCCTGGGGCAGGGGTTTTGGGGGCTCCAGCTGGTGGCAGCCCCCTCTCCTGGTCCCCTCCGCGGCAGCGCCCAGACCCTGGAGGCACGGGGCCGGCGGGCACCTCTCGGCCACCCCCCGAGGCAGGCTCGGCCCCGTCCGCACCAGCCCAGGCGCACCCGTGGGGCGAGCGCCGGGCAGAGCGACGCGGTCCATCCCGACAGCGCCAGGCATAACCGCAGCAGCCCGCGGCCGGCTACCGACGGGCATTACTGAGCAGGGCCGGGCTGCTCCCTCGAGCCGCTCGGTGGCCGTGGCAGCAGAAAGGAGCCAGCGCAGCCCCTGGGCCCAGCGGGGAAACGTCCCTCGAATGCTCAGCGGCTGCACGGGGAGGAGCGCCCGGGGGGGCAGACGATGAGCCTCTTGCACCGGCTCGTTGTGTACGACCCTCGGGCTTCTGCTTCTCACTTCCACCGTACGGACCGTAAAAACACCTCGGGCTTTCCAGGGACCTGCCGCTTGTGGCGGCCTGCATTGGAGTTATGAATATACTCCCCCCCGCGCTACGTCCCGTGTGAGTAACAACACTGCCTTCCCAGACTGTGAGAGAAAACCAGTTTCGAGCGTCTGCTTCATGCCAGCCTGTAGCCCAAACCAGAATCGGCTACGACAGTCACCCTGTCGCGGAAACGGGAGAGCGTGTAGATCAGCGGGGACATCCCCAAGCACAGAACTGTTCCACTCAACAGAGTGCCGGGTCCTTAATCCGCTGCACAGCTAAAGCCGAGGCATTTTGCAGCTAGCGGGTACCCCCTCAGGGGCGGTACAGCATGATACAATAAAAAAGATTCTCTTCCAAACCCATCGAGTTTTGTTTTTCAGCCTTCGGCGCAGGTTTCCTCGTTTTTGGTTCTGTTTTCTAAGAGTCATTTCACCCAGCAAGCCCACTCGCTCGCCGCTGCAAGAGGAGAAAAGAGCAAAGCTGCAAAGCCCGGCCTCTCCTAGTTCCTTGGGCTTGCTCTGCCCTCGTTTGAGGCAAAGGTGGCAGCACCAGCACAAGCCTCCCTCTGCTCAGAGCAACCTGGAAAAAGTGCTATTTCTGTCGTTTTTATTATTAATTTCCACTCCTGTTGTGACCTAGACATAAAGCCAAAGTTGCAATGTGTTTCCGTTAAAAAAAAAATCACCGCCGGGGCTTTAGTCACTGGAAATACCCCCCTCCTGCCACCACCCAGAAAAAGAATTCACAGGAAAATCCATTTGACTCCCATCCTTATTTCCTTCTCTTTTCTGGGGGCTCCCAAACACCAGGTTCGTCATTGCATGATAGTGGTAAAACCATCTCTTCCCCTGGGAGGCCCCTGGGTGTAGAGGCCAAGCCCCAAAGCACCAAAAAAACAAAGCTACTTCCTCCTCTGCCTAGACCGGTGCCCGCCACAAAGGGAACCTGCCGCTGGTGGTTGGTTTTGCATTTGTGCCTTCATTCTCAGCTCTGGGCAGGACCCAAAAGGTCACTTGAAGACAACCCTGCTGTTAGTCACCATATGGCTTTCTATCCCATGCCTAGGAGGAGGCAAACTTCTCTCCTGCCAAAGGGGAATTCTACCTTGACTTCCCGAGGGAAGGACTCGCTCTCGGGAGAGCTCGTTAATTCACAAGGAAGCATTTCCAGGCTGCAGCCAGCCAGTCTCCACAGAATTTAGAAACCCCGTATTGATCAGGAACACCTCACCCTGCTAATCATCCAGAGCCGTACAGATAAGCATCAAGTTGAGAACACATCTGTCAGAGAAGAGGGGTGTGTGCGAGAGAGATGCACGCACGCGGACACAGTTCGACGCGCAGAATGGATATCAGGTGCAGAGCAGCAGAGCGCAGGCTAGAGAGGAACAGGCTGCTCTGTAGCTTAGGGGAGGACGTCAAAGGGAAGCAGAAGTCCTCGTTTTGCTACAATACTGACATTATCGAGAATAACTAACAATCATATTAGACTGCTAATAAAAGAACTTTCCAACTCGGATCTCAGTGTGCTTCCCAGCTGCTAGAGGGGCCTCACAAGCATGACAAACTCATTTCCTAAATTGGTTGTATAGGTAGAAGGAACGCCTCGGCTGGCAGGAATTCAGAGAAGTTGACACCAGAAGAACTTGTGTGCCCTATTTTTCACTGTGTTGCCTCTTGGCAGGGGTGGCATCTCCTTCATTGGCGGTTTTCAGCAGGGGGCTGGGGAGGGAGGTGTCTGCCTGGGGTGGTGTAGGAACAGTGCGCCCTGCGCAAGGGGCTGCAGGTCCCATCCAACCCCAGCGGTCCCATTCGCCCCTCGGATGCTATGGCAGCTCGCTGCCTGGCCTCGGTTTCACTGCTGTCCCATCCAGCCGGGCAAACACACACAAGCTTCACCGGCACTTCAAGAGACAGCTCACAAACTCAGCGTGGGTGTACGTGCACTGTCTCCGTTTCTCCCTTCCCGAAAAGAGCCTGGAAGCCATCGGACGAGCCCCCGCCTGCTGTGTTTCTGTGGGTTTCTCCATTAGGTGGGTTGCAAGCCCACATCAACCGGCTTTTTGTTTCTACTTAGTTTCACTTTCCCGTTTTCTGCCACTTGGCCTATTTGCACTGCCCAAAATCAGCCACCCCTGGAAAAGGTGAAAACTCCACTTGTTTTCAAAAAAGGAGCCAGAGGTATTCACCTTGGGCAGGCGAGGAGTCAGCCGCAGAGGTCTGCAAGAACAGGATGATTTAGCGAGCGGCCAGCAAGATGAGTGCCCCCAGCCCTACGCCATCCCCTGTCCAGCACAGGCCGTGCCACTGACACACGAGTTGTCTTAGGGAAGTTTTGGGGTGTCTGACATTTTCCACTGGGCTGTTTCTAGGATCCTGTCCCTGGTAAAGCTAAGGGTCTTCGTCAGCGCAGGCTAGGTTTTAAAACAGGACTCAGCTCTGAGTGAAAACCATGCATCCGACCGAGTAAGCATTGTCTACAAAAGCTTGTGCCTCATTGAGTTAGTAAGATGCCAGCCTGCCCTGCCTTCTGCCTGGTGAAAAGCCAGATGCTGGGTCACGGTGCTTTTTGAAAGGCTGGCCCCAGGAGCTCAAAACTAAGGCAAAAAAGAGGGGTGCAAAAATCCCCTTTCCTGACAGGGCCTCAGTAAGCTGGACTGCACAAAAAACAAGTCCCGTCTCGTATCTCAGTAGAGTCCGGTCTCAGCCCCCTCGAGGCATGGGAGCGAGACCCGGGTGAGTCACAGAGCGATTCTCCCACTTCTCAGAGGTAGAAAGGCCCTGTTCCTAATTTCACAGGGTCTCAAGACACAGGACCTTAAACCAGTCGCTGACACTTGCACAACCTGACCTCTTCTCCCAGCTCTTTGGCCCAGGCCTGGGTGGGGAGGTGGAGTACAGTACCAGCTCTAGGGGGAAGAAGGAAGCTTGTTTGTGCTCGACTGCTTCTCTGATGTTACCTGGTGTCACCATGAAGCTGCTCAAGAGGACTGGAAACGAATTTGTGGGCAGAGTACAAAGGAACGCTGGTCAAAGGTGCAAGAAACACGCTTCACTGTATGCCACAGTGGGGTAAACATAGCAGCAACACAGCTAGAAGTGTTACCCTGCAAGTGTCTCGTCGCGGCCAGGTCCTATTTGGTAGCAGATCATCCGGTGCCTCCCGCCTGCGGCAGCAAACCCAGTGCAAATGCTTCTTGCTGGGCCTGACTTATTTCTGCAAGCCCTTGCCCCCTTTACCCGCTGCAGCCCGGCTGGCTGCAGGCAGCCCCCATGTTCCCCCTTCACAGCTGGGGTTCTTCCCGCCTGCCTCCGCCGTTTGCCTTTCCTGTTGCTCGATGCTAAGCGATGCAGTGTGACATCCTGCATCAGGCCCGGCCGTGGCCTTTCAGGTCCCTTGGCATGGGGCCATGCGCAGGGGATATATAATTGATGGGCCGATTCCTGTGCCCCCAGGTAGGCGCTGTGTTCTCTCCCCTCCACCCACCGAACCCCCTGCGCAAGCACGCAGCTTCCCCGCCGCGCCCTGCGCTTTGAGAGCAGCTGGGGAGGGAGCGTGGGAGGAGAGCAGGCGGGCTGTGAAGGGCAGAGGGGACACCCCGCAGGGTTCGAGGAGGCGGGTGGAAGCCAGCCTGCGTCCCGGGGGACGGCTCCATGTTTCACGGAAGCTGCGGGCACCGCAGGGTAGGACGCTGTCTGCCAGCTCTGCTCCGGCAGGGCGTAGCCGCGACACTTCTCCCTTCCTAAAAGCCAATAGACCATGAGCATCCGGGCATCGTGTGCCCTGCTGCTGCCTCCGACACCTTCTGTCCTTGCAGCATTTGCCCCCGTGGGACTCTGGTCTGGTTGACATCAGATGCATCACCCAGGCTCCGGCCGGCGCTGCCTCAGTGTCAGGCTCGGGTGATTTGCTGGGAATCAGAGAGGAGTTGGGCTCGGTGCCCCCTCGCAGAGCCCTGACCTAGATTTCATTGTCCACTCGTGGCACATACCAGGCAGCACCCTGCCCCTCGGCCAGCCGAGGCAAGGGCTGGAGAAGATGCCCCAGCCAGCGACCAGAAATGGCATCATCTGGAGCCAGAGCAAGGCTGTCACGGGGCCTGCAGGAGGAGGGGGCGATGCGGTGGCTGAAACACAGGGTGGGTCCAGCTTCCCACTAGGTAAACAGCTGCTGCGGAGAGATGGCAATCTCCCCACGAGGCAGCAGAGCTGCTCCGCAGCCGCAGCAAAGTCTCCCCCCTCACCCGCCCACGCCTTCCCCTGGAGCCCATGCGGTTGTCACGCTGCGTTTGGGGCTGGCCACAGCCCCCGCTTGGCTCATGGGCCAGGGGTGAGAGAAGCGAGTCTGACCCCGCTGCCCGACCGCAGGGCTCAGGATCTGGCCCAGAGCTCGGGGCGTGCAGTCTGCAGACTCCCCCAGCATCAGACAGTGCTGTCCCTACCCTTCTCCGCTGCCCTTCTCATCCCTACGCGTGCTACCTGCTCTGGTCCTGTTTCCCTTCCCCCCATCCCCAGCCCCAGGGGTCTCCTGGCCCCGTCAGAGTTCCCAGGATCTGTCGCCTACCACGTCTGCCGCCCCTGGCTGCAGGGGGGGTCCGCGGCTGCCGGCCGTTCCCCGGTGGGGGCATCGGGGTGATGGCCCACATGGGTCAGCCTCACGCTTAGCTGCTCCCAGGAGAACGGCGCGTGTCTGCTCCTTGGCCTCCGGCCGAGCCTCCTGCAGCGAGGGCAGAGACCCCTCTGCCTGCTCTCTCCTTGGGGGCTACTGCTGCCTCTGGGCCCCAGCCCAGGCGGCCCCCATGGAGACCCATGGGTCCCTTTGTGACAGCAGCAGGCCTGCAAGGTGCCTCCTGTGCTCCCCCCTCCCCAGCCAGCTAGGGCTGCTGGAGGGCTGTGCCCAAAGGGGTCCCTGCTCCATCACAGGCCGGTCTGGAAAACACAGCTCCCCCAGGCCCTGGCAGACCCCCCGTCGCAGGCCTGCCAGCAACCTCCCGACACCCTACTAGAGAGACCTCCCCCAGCCCCGTGCTCATCTCCCTCACCTCTTCCCCTTGCAACCTGGTGCTGGAAGTACAAAACCACCTCAAACACTCAGGCTTGGACAGAAGGACTCTGCTGTTGGTGTCCTTCGTGTTTCAGCCGCCGTGACGCTCTCCTGTAACGGTGTCTAAGTCGGCAGCCAGCCTCGTGACCAGAACAAGCCCCCCAGGCTGCGTTGTGCGGCTTCTGCAGCACCCTCTGAGCGCCATGCAGGATGTCCCGGTGCCGCGGGAGCTATCAGAAGGGGATGGCAACCCCGATGAGATGGGGCTGGGGCTGCCTGCCTCCCCCACAGACATCTCCAGGGCCGTATCTCCACCAGCAGGGTGGAAGAAGAAGGGTGAGGAAGGGTGAAGAAGGGTGAGAAGAAGGATGACGATTTTGCCTCTGATGCCCCACTCCCAGCAGACCCACAGGCCGGATGAGGGGAGGTGAAGAACAGAGCAGGAGCCTGATCCCGCCACCCAGCACAGTGAGGTCACAATCTCAGCATTGTGACATCACAGCTGCCTTTGGCAGCAGGGGCACGGTGAGGGACGGACCGCGCGAGGTGGGTGGGAGAGGTGAGAAGCCAGTGGGCTGCTCTGTGCGCAACCCACCGGGACCTACTCATATGACCTAGTCATTCCCAATTAGGTCTCGCAGGGGATTCGGTTTTTTTAACCGTTTTATTTTGCAGCCGTCTGCTCCCCCACCCCGGGGTGAAATCCATCCCTGCAGAGCCTGCAAAGCGTATCGCTCCGCAGACTGAAATCACGGCAAACAGGCACAATGAGTGCATTGAACGGGGGAGCCCGGCTTCTTGTGTCCTAGCCTGTGCCCCCAACTCTCCTGGGCTCGTCTCCCACCGCCCCCCTGCTAGAGCTTCCAGGGCATCTGGAACTCGTTGGGCAGCAAGAGAGTCCAGTGCGTGGCCTCCACGTTCTTCATGTACTTCGTAGCCAAAAACAGGGCCAGCTGCTGCCTTCTTCCAGGGGTCACGTCCTTCCCGACCCTCCAAGGGAAGCCGTCTCCAGGCCCCAGGCTGGATTTGTAGGCTTGCAGCTGGGCGATGCACCAGTCCTCCTCCACCTGGTAATACCTGCAGACGGCCGCTTCCTGCGTGGGGCTGGCGGCCCTCAGCCAGTGGTGCACAGCCATTTCCCCGTCCCGGACCATGACCTCGGGGTAGCGGTATCTCAGCAGCCGCAGCAGCAGCTTGTTGCCGCGGTTGGACCGGATGTCGGCGCGCTGATCCGTGGTCCTGACGTGGGTGGCGGTGACCTGGTCCAGGGTCCTGCGGATCAGCAGCACTGGCCCCGGGTAGGCGCAGAGCTGCTCGGCCACGTTGAGGTTGAAGTGCCGCTGCACCGTCCGGGCCACCAGCTTGCTCCAGCTCTTGGGCATGACCTTCAAAGCCAAGGGCAGCAGGTGGTCGAACGTGGCGTCCAGCACCAGGCCGCCCAGCTGTGGGTAGGTCATGGCGGCCCAGGTGGCCGCGTAGCCCCCGAGGGACCAGCCGTAGAAGAGGATGTCCTGGAGCTGGAAACCCAGGCGGTTCATGGCGTATTGCACCACCACCTCCACGGCGTTGGCGTCGTGCTGCGGGAAGGGCAGCCCCGTGCTCCCGGCATAGCCGGGATGGTTCCAGCCCAGGGCGGAGTAGCCGGCTTCCAGCGGCGTGGCCAGGCAGCCTACTTCATAGAAACCCACGTTCCCCTCGCAGCAGATGACCAGCCGTTTCCCTCGCGCCAGGTCCTCGCTGCCCGCCGTGCTCCTCCTCCGGTCCACGAACATGGTGTCTATCTGGTTGCCATCACGAGCCACCAGCTTGGCCCGCTTGCCGTGGAACTGCCCCAGCAGACGGGCCTGCCCCTCCACCAGCAAGGGCTGCAGGGCTTTCTGCAACAGTGAGATGGAGCCGGGGTAGAGCAGCCACCGGCCCAGCGAGCGAGCCAGGACGTAGCTGGCCAGCTGGCCGGGCAGCTGCTTCATCCTAAGCAGAGAGCAGCGTTGGACGGCATCGGTGTGCCTGCGCTCTGCGCTCGCGGGGGGTCCCCACGGCTTTCCTCCCACAGTGGCCGGGCAGGGCGGCACTGGGGGGCTGTGGCGGCCAGCCTCGTCCCATCGGAAGTCCACGGGCCAGCTCCGGAACTGGGACTTGTAACTAGCGGCCAGGTAGGTGGTAAACACGTGGCCGAGCGCTTTCCCGAAGCATATGACGCACATCGGGGGAGCCAGGGGCGCCGTCTACCCAAGGGGGAAAGTCCAGAGAAAGGGATCTCTACAGCCTCAGGCAGTGTGGGGCGAGTCCGAGCCGAGGGTCTCCATCGGAGATGTTCCCCCACGCGGCATGGGGACCAGCTGGATCACAGCCCTTTGGCCGTGGCCCTCTCTGCCCGGCGATGTCCTGAGTGGCGCAGAGGGCATCGCCCCCTGCCCTCCATCATCACCGGGCAGTAACAATGAGGAGGGCCAGCCTGCATTGTGAGCACACCCTGGGTTACCCCCATGCTTCCCCCAGCTGCCAGCACCCAGGCTGCAGTGAGGGCAGAGCGGCATGGGGGTGCTTTCGAGTAACGCGGCATGGGGGTGCTTTCGAGTAACCTCCTCGCCTGTCCCTGCGCCTGTCTGCCTCTCCATTAGGACACAGACGAATGGCCCCTTGCAGCCGATACCCATGTCTCCCAGTGCAGCCCTCCCCTCCTGCCCGGGGCTAAGCAGAGACACTCGGAGCCCCAAAAAACCCTGCTATTCATACACCCCATCCCTTTTCTTTGAGCTCTGGCAACGCTGTGGATCATGTCTTCCCTCGCCACCCCGAAACGATGCCACGCAGGGCTGCATCCTGCCCTGCACGCTGGTGTCTGGTCCCCATGCAAAGCCCAGCACCATTAAAACCCCAATTGTTTTTTTTAAAGGGTTTCTGGTTTATCTCCCAGTGTCGACTTCGGTGCCACCAGCTGCTCCCGTCAGCTTCCCAAGGGGCAGCCCAGCAGCTCAGGGCGCACAGAGCCCCATTTCCATTCCTGTCTCCACTGGAATGGTGTCTGAGCTCAAATAAAAGGCCTGATCCTGAGATGCACGGGTCACCTGCCAGCCCCGCTGAAGCCAGCACCAGAGCAGAGGTCATTGCTGTGTCACAGGATGGTGGCCAGCATTCATGCATCTGCTTCTGGGGACGAGGTAGCCGCAGCCACATGTTGGTGCAGGGAAGGAGAAATTCTGGCCACGAGGCAAACCTCCCTCTCAAATGCCAGGAGATCCCTAAAGGTCAGAGGCTGCCTGCAAAGCGCTCGCCCCGGCTGGCACGCAGATTCGTGCCCTTTGAGAGGCGAGGGGCTGAGTCACAACTCAGGATCAGACCAGAAGGGCTACAGGCTCCAGCAACGTGGTGCCCGGGGCTTAGGTCACTGGACTGCCCCCGTGGCTGGAGAGTTTACACAGGAAGAGCCAGTCACCGCTTGCACCAGCCGGAAACCCCCCACCGGGTGCATCAGGTGAACAAGATCCTCTTTCTTTGTCTGAGGGCTCGGCATGGGGGCTGGGAGGCTGCGGCCTCAGCACCTTTCAGGAGCCGAGAGGGAAGTGCCCCCAGCGAGGGGAAGAGGGGTTCCTCTTTCCTAGCCCCCCGGACCCCCCGGCCGCCTGCAAGGGTATCGCTTTCCCAGTCGCCAGAACTGCCGTGCGCCAGATGCAGCCTTCCTCTTTTCTCCGAACCCAAAATAGCCCCAAGCCCCAGATGGGGCGGCAGCTGGGGGACAGTTCCTCTTTCCAATCACTCCTCGCGGGGGAAGAGGGCAAGATTGCTGAAGAAGACCTGGCGCCACGGGGAGGAAGGAGCATGGCACAGAGCTGACAAGGCTCCTCCGCCGGGCGCTGGGAACTGCGTGGGGGTCACTGGGGGCTGCAGCGGGAGGCAGCGGAGCAGAAAGAGGTGGGGTGGAGGACAGAAAACAATGGGCAGCTCCCCCCCGCCTCGGCGCTGGGACATGGCAAGACTTCCTGCAGCAGGATTTGAGGGTCAGCGACCTTTGCAGAGAGACATCTGCGCGCAGAAGGCAACTGCCTCTTGCCCAGGCCCTCGCGCATCCCCAGCCCGGGACCAAGGGCAAATGCAATCTGTCTTCCTTTCCCTGGGGAGGCAGGGCCCTTCTCCCGGGGAACCTCGCTGCTGTTCAAAACCCTGCTCAGGCCAGACATTAGAAACCACGATCCTGCCTTTGCGGGGACAGCGAAAGGCAAGAGAAACTCCCTGCTCTAAGCCACCCCTTTCTTGGAAAGATTCAGCAACTCCCCCAGCCGCCGCCTGTGTTTTCCCAGCCTCTGGGTATCCCAGAGTGAGGGTTCGGGTCGGCTTTTGCTAAGCGCAGGGGCTGCACTGGAGGGTCGTCCTGTTCTTTCCCATAAATACTGCTGACATTTGGGGGCCTCATTCACAAGCACCCCGGCCTAATGGCAGGTTCATCCCCCAGCCCTCGACGCCTCTGCTCAGCGGTGGCTCGATCCGCTTGGAAAGTCTCCGCGGCCTCGCCGTGCCCTGTGCCGCCCAGCTGCTGCGAACTTCCCCGCTCCTCGCTGGTGTTCAGGGTGTGGTTGAGACCAAAATTTACCGGTCGTCACAGGGTCTTGCCAGGCTCACGAGGATAGCAAGTTTCCTGGCCATCGTGGAAGTCCCCAGCTGATGCCAAGCTGCAGCCGGGGTGACCGCGGGGCCAGAATTCAGATGCAGAAGCCTCGCCCTCGAGCCGTGCAAGAGCGAGCTTCGCCATTGCAGTATGGGGACTTGGATGCGTGGCTGGGCGGCTGTGACTCTGCAGCCGAGAGCAATGGCATGCATACACGCCGGCCAGCCCCTGTGAGACGCGGTGGGAGGAGACCCCGAGACCTCTGTGCACCTTCCTTCCCTCCTCCCACGTGAGGAATTTCACACTCTCCCACCCTGGGCATCCTCTTTTCTTGGCAGCTTGTGAAGGGCGACTCAGAAATCTCTGCCTCCCGCGCCCAGAGGGACCGAGGGTCCAGCCTTGCAGGGGTCCTGGTGCCTGAGCTGCAGCACCGCAGGCGGCTGTGCCCCGGCCCCGGGACTTCGCTCTCCGGCTCAGACACGTGGGCTACTGAGCCGCCAAGAGCATCCGTCTGTGGGGATCTGAAGCCTGCCATCACCCCCGTGATTCAAAATATAGGGGCAAAGGTTGCCCTCGCCCCACCCACCGCCGTGGGAACAGCTTGGAAGAGAGGCCCCGGGCCTGGGAAGGAATTCCCCCCTGCCCCCGGGGCACCGCGCCGGCCACCGTGCAGCTGCTCTGCTCCCACCGCTGCAATGGGAGAAGGAGCAGCTGGGTCCATGCAAGGGGCTGGGGTGGTCTCCCCACATCACCCTGAAGCACGACCCACCTCCAGAGTCTCCCCCCGACCCCGTCATGGGCGGCGGTGGGTGCATTTTGCTGGAGCGGAGGGGTCCCCCGGCAGAAAGTGGGACCCTTGGGGATGGGGGGGAAGAACAGAGCAAGGGATCAAAAGGTCGAAAGGCAGCTCCTCCGGGGGAGGAGGCATAATGGATGTGGGGGAAGGAGGGAGCCGGTGACAGCTGGGAAAGGAGTGGGCTGGGTGGTTAGTGGGAAAGCCAGAGCTTTGGACTGAGCAAGGGCGTGAGCTGGGGGGGGTGGGGGGCTCCCCTCGGCCCGGCAGCCCCCCACAATCAGTGCAAGTGGACAAAGAGAGGTCTTGGAGGCCACCGGGGCCGAGGGCACGGTGCAAAAAAACACTGGGGCTGCAGCAGTCCCCCGGGGCAGGGCTGGGAGCGGAGGCAGGCTGGGGCTTCCTGAAGTCTTCAGAGCTTTGTCACCAGCCCTGGTTTCTGCCCTAGAGAAATTACTCAGCCAGCAACAAAAACATGTTTTCCTGGCGGAATAAGCCGCGCCGCATCTCGCCGGCGGGAGGGAAGGGAAGGCGAAGTGCCCGGGCCTGGCCGTGCCCCCCCAGGACAGCCCAGGCCTGGGAAACCAAAACCTGCTCAGGGCAGGACGCGGAGAGGGACTGGCCGGCTGCATGGCCACGGCCGGGGGATTTCTCGCCTGCTGTGGGACCTCAGGGGGCTCTGCCAGACCCCGAATCCCCGTTGCACCCTGCTGTTTAACGGGGCTGGTGCTGCTGGGATCCATGACGGGACGGTCCAGGGGCCTGCGGACTTGCTCATCAGACACGAGCCGCGGCGGATGAGCCACCAGGCCAGGAGCGGAGGGTGCTGCAGGCGCCGTGGGGAGTGATGCTCGGGCTGCTGAGCCACTAAGGAGAACGGGTCCTAGGCCCCTCGCTCCCCGCCAGGCTCGGGCAGACAAACAAGTTATACCAGGTTAAGGATGGGTGGGAAGCAATCCCAGGAGTCACTGCCTCAGTTTAGCTCCCATACCCAGGGCAGATGCAGGGAAGGGCTGATGTGCAGTAAGTGCCCCCACCCAGCCCTTGCCAGGCTAGCCTTGGCCTGTCTGTCCACCCCCCAGGCTAAACCCCGGGTATGGACACAAGAGGAAGCTCAACGAAGTGCCATGGCATCGTCTGCCAGCCTGGGGGACCCCAGTGCGAATTCAGTCCATCTCCTCTCCTGGAGGTCCGGAGCCAGGGCAGGTCCCAGGCCTTGCCCTCACCTCACCTTGGGATCCATGCAGCACCATCTGGCATTGGGAAAAGCCCCGTGTGCTAATCTGCCTTAATCTCCCCAGATCCTCTGTGCCCCGCGGGCGGCGGGCAGGCCGGAGCCAATGTAGATATCACCCCGGCGTGCTCAGACAGATGAGCAGCGACAGCCCCGGCTCGGCGAAACCATCCCCGGGGAGCGCGGGCGGAGGCAGACGGCCGCAAGCGCGCTCTGCAGCGTCAGCATGAATTAAGGGCCCGCCGGCATTTCCATCGGGGTCGGGGCAGGGCAGGGAGCAGGCACTTCGGTGACCGTGCTGCTCCATTAGACTGGGGGTGGCGGCGCAGAAAGCGTTAGAGAAGCGGGCCGGGGAGGTCTGGGGTTTCAGCTGCTCCCTTCCACCCCATGACAGCTTTGTGGGGACACCCTGCACCAGGGCTGGGCTCTGCCCCATGGTGCTGGGGCTGGTGCAGGCTGCTGTCCAATGCACCCTGGTCGCACCAGCCCCGCGGACCATTCCAGCAGCTGCAATGGGCAGAGCCTGCAGATGCCCCAGCTCTACCCCGCAGCACAGCCCCCGTGTGTCTTGTGCACCAGGGCCCCTGCTTGGACGGCACGAGGCTGGCTACCAGCAGCCGCGCGTCCAGCAAGGACTGCCTCTCTGTCGGGGGTAACCCACGGGCGTCGTGCCGGTGGCTCTGCTGCAGCGTCCTAGCCACAAGCACGTCCCTTTGTCCTCCA